ACCGCTGGCGGGGACGCGGCGGACCCGCTGCTGCCGCCGCTCGCAGCCTGGGGCTCACACAGTCTCCTCCTTCGTTCGGTGCTCACAGGTGCCTCCTCCTGGAAGGCGGCGGCGACGGCGGCGCGGGGAGCCGGCAGGCAGCGGCGAGATGGGGCCCCTCCGGGAGAGCAAGGTAAGGAGGGACCCGGTGTGTGGGCACGGTGACAGGGTCCGAGGGGGCTTTCAGTAGAAGAAGACAAGGTGGGTACAGCCTGCCTAGGGGTGAGCCAGGTGAGAAATGGACCCTGGTGTTCAGAGTCCAAGCAATGCGGGGGGTGGGGGAAGTAGGCACTGGAGACAGCAGGGAAGCCCAGGGTCATCGGATGGTGATGGGATGTAGCAGATGGGGAGGTGGCACTACAGGAAGAGATTTGGGGGATTAATATGAGGATTTAAAAGATTGGGTTTAGAGGGTTAATCCTAGCTCCTGAAGATGTGACTTGAGGTGAAGCTTTTAGCGGGTGTCATGTGTTTGCCTGTGCGTATATGTGTGTGATAGTGCAAAGGGAATTTGGTGTATTCGTGACTGAGAAATAAAGACTGCAGCGTGACAGTGACCCAGCTCAAGAGTCTGCAGTATGTATGCCAAGCAGAGTAGCTGGCGTGGGATACCTGCTGGGTGACTGATGGGGCTGGACAGATCCGGAGTCTGGGTGTGGCTTGGATGCAGCACCAGGATGGCATGGATGCCTGAGCCAGGTTCCGGGCTGCAGGGGGTTTTCCCTGTGGAGGAGGCCTCCCAGAGGTGTTCGCTTTGGCCTTGACCCTTCCTGGTAAGCTGTGGAAACAAGCAGGAGGTCATGTTGGGAAATGGCATCTGCTACTTAAGCCAAAGCCTTCCTTCAGTTACAGAGGTTGGAAGGAGCTGTGGAATTTTTGCATAAAAAGCTCTTCCTGGGAATCCAGTATTAACAAGGCGGAGTAGTGGTGACCCTGAAAACTGGTCTGAAGTTCTCTTCTAGCTGATGTACATACAGCCTTTGCCTCTTCCAGCCTCAGCTTCCCCATCTGTTCAG